CACACACACACACACACACACACACACACACACACACACACACACACACACACACAGACATCCCAGTCCCTTCTCTGATTTGGCTGGGTTGACATTTACGAGGTTCCCAACCGCCCAGCCACTCGATGTGCTCAGAAGCATCTTTCTAAACCAAACCCCATCTTCCACTCTGTCTCACGTTAGTTGATATCCCTTTACAACACCCCCCCCCCTCCATCTCCCCCGCCTTTTGGATTTCGATTATGTTGTGGCACTGTGCTCTTTATTCCAGTACAGGAAAGTGAAACTGCCCCAAAATGAGTTTCCATTAGGACCATTGTAGGTAGTCGACTTCCGACCGTCCTCCCCCGAACACATCAATGTATACGCACTATTTCTCCGGTCCAATACAGTCATGATGAGCGTCTGTTGTGTTCGGCGGAAAATGGGGTAGCATGGGTACAGTGACTACAGTCCAGTTGGGCCCAAGACTCCTCAGCAGATGACTCTCACCTCCCAAGAGAGCAATGAAGAAGGTTGGTGCTAGCGATGCATAGCTGAGTCATTCAAGTCAAACACAACATCGTCAGCACACAATCTTAACCCTGTCAGAAGATATCCAAACTTCCAAAGTTATCAAGCACAAGTAACTGGACTGGGTTCAAACTCTCAATCCGACGTTCATAAGCAAGCGCACCCGGGTTCAAACTCTAAATCCAATCCAAACTTCTCTTAAGCAAGCAACTGGGGGTTCAAACTCTCACCAAATCAATGGCTAACAGGTCCGTAGACATGTGCACCGCTGAGTCGGCGCTGACCTAACAACCGGGTTGAGTGGGTTCAAACTCTCCCGATCCGAAGTTCGTAAGCGCAAGTAACTGGGTTCGAACTCTCGGCTGATAGACGGCGAACAGGTATGCAGACATGTGATGTGCAGTGTGCACCATTGACTTAACGACCGGGTTGCTCCTTCATCCAACAGGTTGTTCCTTCATCCAAGCTTCAATGGCTTCCGTCGTCATCGAAGATGAACTTATTAAGTTATTACTCAGCATGTGAGCAGGCAGGCCCATTTAATCCCTGTGCTATTAATCCGGCGGCGAAGCAACCAGCCGTCCGATAATCTGGTCATCTACACATCTGAGCCGAGCAGACAGTCTGCACAGCCAGACGGTCAGGCCTCTTGTCTGATGAATGAGAGAGACAAAGAAGTCAGAAAAGGGCCGGAGACTCGGTGGAGAGACTTTTTTTTTTGAGTCCTGGATATATGCATGCTGGCAGTGGCACTCAGAAAAGATGTTGTGTGATTCTTGTGTACTTGCGACGAAGGAGCTCCTCCCCTAAGAGGAGAAATGTGATTATTAAAACTTAGGGGTAACTAGGGCGCAGTCACGTTTTTTAGTTTGAAATGCAGTTCAGGATCCGTCGAATACAACACGACCCCACCCACCCCTAAAGCTGGGTTGTATACATTCACGATTTTCCTTGCTTTGGAGCAGCATTCGCAAAAACGTGAGTGAATCGCATTTAAAACTGAAAGCCATGACTGCACCCTAGTTTTCTCTAAAACTTATTTTTCCACATGTTGTTGCTTCTTTGCACATGTTGTCGTTAAGAGTGGTTACTTTGTGTAGGTACTGTGTTGTGGTTAAATGTAGTTTTTTTTGTGCACGTTTGACTGGTTATAAGTGTGTGCGCATGTTGGA